GAAATGAAATAAATAGAACTTTAATCTTATTAAAAACGTGTTCGAATAATTTATTTAAACAATAAAATTATCCAAAATCCATACAATAATTGATATTGTCAGCATCAACACCATTAAACATATTTTCCCATTCCAGAGAAATACGGTTAAATTATTTACATTCTAATCAACAGACCTGAAAACAAATATAAGCCGCGAGGGACTTGTTTTTAGGACACGTTACGATCTAACGACCACATCGATAAAGATTTATTTGCCTGTTAACTGTTGGGAATAAAAATGAGTGCTTATTATTACAATGACAAATACACTTTTAATAACGAAGTGGTATCAAGAGACACTATAAATTTAAATTTTAGACAGGTCTTTACTTAAATAAAATGAAAAATAATAATTATATTACTTTCTACCAATAATCATTATCAATCTGCTCTTGTCTCTACCGATTGTCGGTATGTTCTCTCTTCAATACATATCAGCCATCATATTCACTCCTTACGCAAATTGCTTCCACATAATCCATACTTTCTTCGATCTTTCTCGGTGCCTTTGGTATAATTTCTACAAACCTTTTTCTTAATATTAGCATTACAAGTTATATTTGGGATTGTCTCAGCACTGTATTCTTTTATAACCCTATAACACTCAGAGACAATTAACGTATCCAATTACGACTGAACTCTGGTTTCCATTTACGAACCACTCATTACACTCAGAACAGAATTGATATTTTATATTTAGTTAATGAAAATATTGGGTTAACTTAATTGAATTAAGAAGTTAATGTACGGATTTACTTTTCCTAAAAGTGCTGCAAGTAATAATGACGAGATGAAAAGATTACTTTAAACTTTGTTTTATATTATACAACTTAAAAGATTTCGATGTGTTTTTTACATTAAAGTTTCTCTTTTAGTTTTTCTATGTTTAGACACTTTGAACATGTTCTCTTCACAAATGGGGAAAGGGATTGGCTCCTGCAGCACAGGGGAACCTATTGCAGGAGCCAAGGCTCTCATGAAATGTATATATTTTTAAAGTGAAATAATAAAGGATTTTTTTTATTTGTTTATTTATTAAGTTAAAAAGTAGGATATTAAAGTAAAAAAAACATCACGGTTACACTAAAGCACTTTTAAGTAAATTGAAAACTTCCAAACAATAAAAACAAATTAATTTACTGTTTTTAAACCGATTCTCAAAACACACACGTAACAATATTTTATGAAACGCTTCATTTTCAATATAAGGTTAAAATAATATTTTGTTATTCGTAAACTTTGAAGGATAATTTGAATTTATTTTTACTTCACTGAACCCATGAAAAAAGTAAACAAAACCAAATATTGAGCACCTTTTTGCAATACCAGATAAAATAAAAGAGAAAATAAAAGTTGTTAATTAAATGTCATTGAAATCACATTTTTTAAAACAAAAAACTAATCTACTAACTTAGATTAGCCTTCGAATTTAATCTTCGAAACCATATAAAGTGCTCAGACTTCTAAGCAAAATAATATAGACCCCAGAGCATACTTCGCTTTTTCTTGAGAGACAAAAACTTTAGTAAAATACTATTCATCTTGTTAAAGACTGGCAAACCGACGCGGCTTCGCACGGATGATTTATTTTTAAAACATAACAAGCCTGTTACTTAGCGATATCGTAGCATTCTAATGGCGAAAGAAGTTTTAAAATTGGTGTAGTAGTTTTGAGTTTATTCATTACTAACATTTTTTTTCTTATAATATTAGGATATAAATGTATAAATTATATTTGTCGATAATCCTCTACTAAATTCAGACGTTTAAAGGTCTCTGTTTAAGCTACCTTGTAGTATAACTAACACGTATTTATAGACTAAAATTAGGCAAATTTATGATACAATTATTATGAAATCGGTCGATTATAATCATGCAATAAACTTCATCTTAATTGACCCTTATTTACACAGCATTTGATTTACGAATACTAAGACTAACACATTAGAAACTCGATATATCATAAAAAGTAAGGTAGAGTCGGTAGAATATGCCTTACTTCTTTATAATACATTATGATAAGTTTTTGTAAGAATACTAACTTTCTATAAAACTAAATCTAAATTAAATTAGAATTTAATTTTTAAAAAATCATGGTAAGTCATTCTGACTAAAATACTTTTTTCTGATAATAATTTTAAGAATATAGATACAAGTTCAAAAATAAAAACATTTATAATTATTCAATTATGACATCTAAACATCTCCGGTTTTGTTTTCGTCATGAAAACGAAACGGTCCAGAAGTCGTTATAATTTTATGTTAATTACCGCTATGAAACGACGGACATAAACATTAAATGAGCAAAATTAAATTATTATAATTGCTTCAAAGATTAAATTAACCATTAATTATTTAAACTTAGATTAACGTAAACGTAAAATTTCCAATAAACTAAGGTAAAAGATATCTACCGATAACGCGACCGTGGCTTATATTCCCGA